TGTAAGCCTTAAGTCATGCAGACACCCGAGTTCCATTCAGTTTCCTACCAAAAAGCACTTAGATTTCTTTGCACTAGCCGTATTTTACAAAGCAAATCATCTCCTAACTTATAATGGCACTTACCGGCTGCATTGCATCGTGCGAAATAAAGTTCTGACCTGTCAACACATGCGCACTTACTAGCTGCATTGAAGTATGCATATGCAGTGTAGATTATTGATTAAATTGGATTTTATATGATTTATGCAAGTTGCCTGTAACTCATACTTTGAGTAAGTCATATTAAATGTTATGGTCCCAACTAATATGATTTATGTGAGTTTTATTGTACTACTAAAGCCATAGCCCTAACAGGTAGTACAGGAAAGCTTGCTAACAACAAGTTGCATTTAGATAGCGCCCTCACATGAGGTAGTATCTCGGAGTGCTTAACAATTTGCTAGATAGAGTTTCCTATACAAGCTATGTAGTTTTAGTTGGGTAGACGTCAGCGGTACCCCAACACATTTTGGAGTCCCAGTGCCTTGGCTCTTGCCAACCTGCGCCTAATACTCTCCAGGGAGACAGTGCACATTCTATTCCAAATCACTTGAATTTCCATGCCTAGGTCGAATGCTTATATCTCTGCTAGGTTTGCATACTCTCAAGCATGGGGATGGCTTTCCTTAAGTGTCAGACACATGGCTGCCAAAAAAAATCACATTACCTAGTCATTTTCATCTCATTGTTTCTGACACTTATTTTCCATTTTCTCTCTCATTCTTTCTCTTTCTCTCTCTCACTCTCGCTTTCTCTCCAGCGCAGTTACTTTGTCCCTGGCTGGTTCTATTTCTCTTTTCAATCTTAACTGATGCTTGACATACCTGCATGGACTCTCTCTCTAAAAAAAGTTTATTAGGCTCTTGCCTAATCTGCTGCTGTCAGCACTTCAACTTTATGTAACTAAAACTATTAGCAACAAACAATTGCTTGTGTGACAAATGCTGGGAGGTAATACAAAACTCTACCTCCAATAGCTGTCACAAAAACTCTTTGAAAAACAAAACCATTAACTTTCTTTTCGGTAGCAAAAGTTTCTAGATGAACAAAAACCTCAACAGAACCACACCTTCCTGTTCAAGAGAATAAAAAAGAATAGTTTTGCAAATGGACTAAAATGTAGAGCTATCTCAAATGAGATGTTAAATCGAGATCCCGTCTGGCTGTTCAGGTGGACGTTAAAGATCTCCTGTGGCACTATTCGAAAAGAGAAAGGAGTTTCTCCTGTTGTCCTAGCCAACAATCCAACAAAATTAAAAAAATTGGTCACTCACTCCATGACCGTTTCGTGGGACATTATTGTGCACATTTGTGCTGCTGTGTTTGCCTAGATATACACTTCATTTCATAATATATCCCATGAAGCGCTTTGAGACGTCCTTCCGACGTGTTAAAGCTCTATACCAATTGCAAGGATTATTATTATTATTATTAGCATTATTATAAAGTGAGGATTAAAATAAAGAGAAAAAAGATGAAATAAATGTTTTTTCCCCTTTTCATTTTATATTATTCTGGAATCTTTTATTGTTGTCCATTTTGTTGCCTTTCCCTTGGTCTTCTGTCCCTGGGAAATCAGGCCAATTTATGTACAAAAAAGCTTGGCAACTTGTGGCACCTGCTGGCCAGCCAGAGAAGTGCAGGTCAGTGTCCAAACTCCCACTTCTCATGAACCCCAATTGAACAATTCTGTTACTGTTTATGTAGCGGCAGGCGAGTTATAAATGGTGTAATTTTGCAGCATGTGGTAATATCACTGGGGCTAATATTATATTTCTGGCATTTTCTCCATGAAGTGCCTTTTGTTTTAAATAAAGGCCTCAGTGGTTGGTCTCCTGCTTTGCCCAAAAATACAGTCACAGAAACTGAGCAACAACAACAACAAGATTACATTTGTACAGCGCCTTTCACATCAGGAGGACGTCTGTTGTGCTGAGCAACAGACTTGCATGTTGCTGCTCACAAATGGAACAGTTTTATTCTAATTACATAACCACGCCAATGGACTCGTCTGCCATTTCACATAATAATTATAAACCATCTCCAGCCTGCTTCATGTCCCCCGCCTCGCTCGACCCACTATTGGCAGGCGGGTCTTCTGCCACTCTGCCCCCACCCTTTGGAACTCCATCCCGCAGTCCCTCCACTTTGACCCCCTCCCTTGCCACTTTCAAGACCCTCCTCTTCGACCGTGCCTTTGATCTCCCTGCTTCCCCCCCCTGCCCTCCACCCTATCAGACCCCGACCCCAGCTTGCGTCCAAAACTCTGTCAGTCCAGTGCCTTGGGACGTTCTCCCAATGTGAAAGGTGCTATACAAATGGAATGTTGTTGTTGTTGTTGTCTCTCCCTAATGGCTCATTAACCACCCACTGTGAACTTACCATATGCATACCAGGTTTGATACCTCTTTGCTGAGTTAGTTGATATCAGTAGGGTGGAAATAGGCAAAGGTGCAACCAGCCCTCCAGCAAACACTAGGGTGTGTGAGATAACACAAGCTGACCACCTGTTTCAATGCAAGATGTCCAGTTTTGACATTGGGAGGCTGGACTTTCAGTTGTAAATAACTTTGAGGCTACCTGCACATGTACAGTGTAACCCCAGTATTATGAGTTGGCTCCAAAGGGGTCAAAGTACATTGAGGTACACATCCCCACAATGTTCTGCATGTTGTTCTTTAGATGGCAGTCATAGAGGTAAAAGTTCCTCCCTCTCTTTTTTTCTTAAACAGGGTTTGCGACGTAGTTCTTTGTATAGAAAGAATATTATGTTCTCCTGGTTCCCAGTCACTCACTCACACACAGCTCTCAGTCTCACACTCAGACACAGCTCCCAGCCACTCACACATAGCTCCAACTCTCACGCTCAGACACAGCACCCAGCCACTTACACACAGCTCCCAACTACAACAACAACAAAATTACATTTGTTTAGCGTCTTTCAAGTCAGGAGGATGTCCCAAGGTGCTGAACAGCCAATGTTTCAGACCCAAGCTGGGGGTTTGGATTGGGGAGGGTGGAGGGCACGGGGGAAGGAGATTGATCGCTCAGACACAGCTCCCAGACTCGCACACAGTTCCCAGTCTCCCACTCAGCCACAGCTCCCAGTCTCCCAGTCTCCCACTCAGACACAGCTCCTAGGCTCCCACTTGGACCCATCATTTCATCTTTAAATTTGCCATGGAGTGATTCCCTAGTTGAAAGTGTACAAATGCGAATGTTGACTAAAGACACGTTCTGGTTTGGTTCTCATAGTTCCCACAGTGAGAGTGCCTCCCGATGCTCACTGTTTGCTCTTGCAGAAGTAGAATGTGTAAATGGGGAGGTCCCCAAAGGCATCCAGGATCACAACCTATTGGTGTATTAAATCATATGTCACCAGAAGATATCGAGTAGAGTTCCTCCAGGTCAGCCCAGTGCACTTCCAGTTGCTGGAAGGAGTCTCTATTTGCAATTCCTCTTGCAAATTATCACATATTAGACCCCATTATAATTACCTGAAAGCAATAGTTGTGATTCAGAGTTCCTTAGAATTCGAGAACACACAACCTCTTCTGAAAAAAAGTTCCAGGTTCTCCTCAATGTCTTAGGTTTCTATTCAGAGTTTGGCATGTCACACAGAAATTACAGCTCCAATTTTTTCACCGGAAGCGATTGATTACTTGTATACAGAGGTCAGTGAGGTCATTTCTGGCTTATTGTGCTTGTTAACCCTGATTCATTGTGCCGTAGGTTGAATGGGTGGGTTATTGTTCTGCCATGGAAACATTGATCGATCAATGGAGTTTCTAAGGTCAGCTCCTTTGATCGTATTGATCCGACCCGAGAGGGCTTTAGCTTGCGGGAGTTTGCAAGAAACAAGTAGGAAAAATCCCTGCTAGCACCCCCCACATGACTGGTCTGCCCCTCCAAGCCCTGCTGATGAGCCAAGCAGGCCTGTATTTCATCAACAATGCCTTGAGTTACTGTATCGCTGAATGAGGAGCCGGACTATCAAAATCTTCACAGAGGATCAATTTGATTCTCATATTTCATTATCATGCATGTCGCCTTGGAGCTAAAACAACCCCAAGAAGAGTCTCAGGTTCATTCCCAGACGGCTTTTATATTGTCATTTCTTTCTTTGGATCTTGCTATACCTATTAGGTTTTATTTCAAAGATCTTTTGTGCAGTGAGAAATACAATGCAATGATTGAATAGTTCTGTACTTCTCATTTTTTCATGATGGAAGTGCACAACAACTGCTATTTCCTCTGCATGCCAATCAGGGTAGGTACAACACCTTGGAGCATGTTCATGAACCTGGACTCTAGGTAACAGCTCCCTTTAGCTGTCATTCGAAGCTCCAGAGATTCCCTATCAGCTGTTTGATGGACCTCTGCCTTCAGCTCAATGGAAAGTCCTTTTCAGGAGAACTCACAATATAAAAGCCATCTGGGAGAGAGCCCAATTATACACTTTAACTGGTCCCCATGCTGAGATCAGCCAACTCAACACAGACTGGGGTTTATATAACCCAGTGTTTTTATGGCAGATACCTTTTACCAATTAGGCCATTGGGGTAGTTTTGGATTGTATTTGTGTTAAAAAAAACAAGAAAAAAAACACCTTTTATATTTGACAATCTTTATTTTGATTTATGTCCACTATACTGAAATGTATCAGGTAGTTTGCAACCTGTACTGTTATAATGGCAAACTAGTAAAATATATAAAGTACAGTGCATATCTCAAGTTGCTGAGTCAAGAGTTAAACACGTTCAGGTGGTGTCTCTTATAAATAATTCATATGTTGCTAGCTGTAAGAAAATCTGCAATAATAAATAAGAAAATGGCAATACCTCAGTAATTTGATACATTCCAATTCAGAAAACTGCTTGTGTCATTTTTTCCTTTGGATCTTGCTAAACCCATTTGTGTTTTCAAAGATCTTTAATGGAGTGAGAAATTGCATTGCTTCTCACTTTTTCATGATGGAAGAAAGTTCCAGGAGCATGCTCTGAAAGAAAAGAGAAAATAAATATCTCAGAAGGTTAAATATATATTGAAGAATCATAAAATCATAGAACAGAAGGAGGCCATTTGGCCCATTGTGCCTGTGCCAGCTCTTTGGAAGAGCCTACCGAATCAGTCCCACTGCCCCGCTCTTACCCTACAGCCCTGCAGTTTTTTTCCTTTTCAAGTACCTATCTAATTCCCTTTTGAAAGATATTATTGAATGTGTTTCCATCACCCTTTCACTGCCACTTTGTTCCACATTATCTTGCAGTAAATTCACAAGCGGACATGGGAGTAACCATTTGCTCTTTTACCCAGATCATTGCAACTGAGGAGCCTGAAAATTCTCCTGGATTTAGTTTAAAACCATGGTCTCAAAATTTAAAATAATGAAGAATTTTAAAAATTCTTAACGTGGAAGCTATTCTCCTGCACTCCTTTTATCAAAGTTTTGTATTCTTAGCTGCTTTTAAATTTTAAACTTTTACTTGTAAAATTATTTTAGACGGTATCTTGCAAGATGTCCGTGCTGCCTGTGGCAGGATTAAAGACTTTCCGAATCTGCACCGTTCCGGAACAGTTTTAATCCTGCTGTGGATTTCATGGATTTTATGATGTCCCCTCTCAACTGTCTCTGTTCAGTGAAAAACATACCAATTTAGTCAAACTTTCTTACATATATTGTCTCAAATCCATTATTATCCTACTGCATCTTTTCCATCTCTGATATCCTTCATGTGATGGGAAACCCAAAACTGAATGCAATACTCCATCTGCTGCTTAACCAATGTCCTGTACAATTCCAACATGACTTCCCTAATTTTATATTCGTTTATAAATCTCAGAACCCCATTTGCCTTTTTCATAGTTTTTTTTAAATTACCCGTTCTACCTTTAATGATTTAGTGATTTGTAATCCCACATCCTTCTGCTTCTCCACTTACACAAGAACATAGGAATTAGGAGCAGGAGTAGGCCATTCAGCCCTCGAGCCTGCCCCGCCATTCAATAAGATCATGGCTGATCTATTCTAACTCCACCTACCCGCCTTATCCCCATATCCCTTAATCCCTTTATCCACAAGAAATCTATCAATCTCAGTCTTGAATATGTTCAAGGACTGAGCATCTACAGCCCTTTGGGGTAGAGAATTCCATAAATTTACTACTCTCTGAGTGAAGAAGTTTTTCCTCAACTCAGTGTAAAAGGGCTTACCCCTAATTTTAAGACTGTGACCCCTGGTTATAATTTCTCCAACCAGGGGAAAAAGTCTCCCACTATCTATTCTGTCATGCCCCTTAATAATCGTATAGGTTTCTATAATTTCACCTCTCATTCTGCTATATTCTAGAGAGATGGTTGAGAGGGGACATCATAAAATCCATGAAATCCACAGCAGGATTAAAACTGTTCCTGAACGGTGCAGATTGGGAAACTCTTTAATCCTGCCACAGGCAGCAAGGACATCTTGCAAGATACCAGACTAAAATTCTAGCCTAGAGAATATAGGCCTAAATTGCTCAACCTATCCTCATAACTCATCCCCCTCATCCCAAGTACCAACCAAGTGAATCTACATTGTACCCCCTCCAAGGCGGGGGTACAATGTAAATAAGGAGACCAAAACTGCACACAATACTCTAGGTGCGGTCTCACCAGGGCCCTATACAGTCGCAGTAAGACTTCCCTACTCTTATATTCTAACCCTTTTGTAACAAATGGCAACATACCGTTAGCCTTCCTAATTGCTTGCTATACCTGTAAACTAACTTTTTGTGACTGGTGTACAAGGACACCCAAGTCCTTCTGAACGCTAACACTATCTAGTCGCTCCACTTCTAAAAAATAATCTGCTCTACTGTTTTTGCCACCTAAGTGAATGACTTCACACTTCCCTCCATTATACTTCATCTTCACTGAGAGTTTTATGCTTCAAGCAAAAATTCTACTCTTCATTAATTTCCCCCAAATATAGTATCTCTTATCTCTCGATGGAGGCGTTAAAGCTAACCAGAGGCGCAGGTTGGCAAAGGCCAAGACTTGAGAATCCCAGAGTGTGCATTTGGGTATTGCTAGAGTCTAACCAGCTAAAATCACATAGCTTGCCTTTGATATCACTGTCTGGCAAGCTTTCCTGCTGCTGGTCCAGTTGGGACCACCTGACCCGTTAGGGTTTTGGCTTGCAGAATTAACAGGCGCTGAGTGGGAGCATTCCCTCCCCCCAGGTTGGCTGTGCTGTCATCAGCAGCGCAATGGAGTACTGCAGACCCGCCTGGCTCAGAAACTGGCCCACCGTGACCGCCACAGAGAGCTGGCTCTTGAAGGAGAAGAGTATTGTTTCGATCAAACTATCTTAAACATTAACACTATCCTCATTATACATTCAGCTAGTCAAGACTGAGAGATTTGTCAATAGAGAATCAACCTTTATGTAAGTTCCTGAGGGGAAACTCATCTACAGCCTTTACTTGCCATTGACAGCCTGCGCCCTGATGGAGGAGGGGTGATCGGTGGACTCTCTCCTTTTCGTTCAGAGCTGGAAATGTTTGCGGAATCGGGGCTTGCAGATCGACTAGCCAGCCTGCTCTCAGACACCACCTTTGATTTAATGCCAATGTAACTGGCCTTCCTGGCGTTGGAAAGTTGACCACTGTCCGGAGACTCAGCACGATCTTCTGGATAGTCTTTATAGCCACTAACCCGGCTCTGTTTACGGAGAGCATTGCGGACGGCGGATGGGATTTCCATTTGGCTGGAGTGCATGAATTTCGTTGAAGGGTGTACAGTTGGTTTGACTTGTTCCAATACGCTTTCAGACTTATGGCAGCTTTTTGAGATTATGCCATTCTCATGGGGCTTTTTGTGGGAATCGTCGCTGCTTGATGATTGATCTTGGCTTTCCAAAATACTGCAGGCACGGCTCATTTGACTGACATGCTGAACATGCTGCTGACCCCCATGCTGGCCGGATTGTTTTCGAGCCTGATCCAAAGGCCTGTCTTTGTCACTTAGGTCATTTGGTTCTTGAAATAAAAAATAAAGAGGTTAGACATTTGTTTGGAGTTCTTCTGTAAGAAAAATATTTGTATTGTAATACTGCATTTTAGATTCGTAAGAAAGTCACACTGAATTTACAGGTGACCTTATCTCTTATTAGGTGAGACTGAAATCAGCAATAGTTTTAATTATCTTACATACTTGTTATCTGCCATTTGACTTGTATTATTCCTTTGTAAAAGTATATTTGGTGCTGTATTTTTTGCAAACCAGTACACGCCACTGCAAATGAACACTTTAGTCTCTAATTTTACCTTGTAGATAACAAAAAGAATCAAACAATAATTTGTGATGGATATCAATCCAAATTGTAATACATTTTCCTGCAAAATACACAGTCCCTGCTCTTTACAATAATATCCCATGAAAAATACTATATCAAATTCAAAGATTATTATTATTATAATCTAGTGGATTTATGTTTTATGGTTTTCCTGAAGAAATATATAGTTTTAATTAAAATAAATGAAATTATTTGTTTCCAAACTTAGAGAAATGGTTGAATTGAATTTGAACCTCTTTCTTGGGCTAGCTTTACAACTTGTAGATATATACAAAGAAGTTATTTTAATGTATAAAATAAATTGTACTCTGGAGGTTTAATTTTATCACCAAAAATGAAGTACAAAGAAAATAAGGTTATCCTTTGCAAGTCATGAAAATAAGGTAAAATGAAATAAAAGTTTCCGAGTATAGTTCTTGTATTGAATATCATTTGCTTTGTACAGAAAACCCCACTAAAAACATCTCATTGCCTGAAGTCTACACTTATTATTCAAGTACATTGATGAGTTATTAAACCAACTAAGGTCAATAAACTGGGTGTCCGCCAGAACATCTGCTTTCAGGTGTACTGGTCACAAGCAAGCTTCAAGTACTTGCTACAACTTCATTGGGTCTATTATGCCCTTACTACTGTAAAAATTTGGATATATAGTTGGAATCAATTGTTATAATAACAACAACTTGCATTTGTCTTGAATCTCTTTACAGAAATGTAGGGGAAGCCAAAAAAAATGGGAAGTGGGGGAGGGGAGGTGACTGAAAGGACCATCAAAGAGACTGATAATTAGAAGCGCTTTGAAAGCGGAAAACGGGTGCAAGGCAGAGGAATCTTGAGAGGGGTTATTCCAGAGAACTTGTGCACAGTGGCTGAAAGTGTGGCTGTTTCTGCAAAATACAGCAAATAGTGGCAAACTTACACTGTAATACCTGTGGAGCACATAGAATTTACCTGCTCCTGCGAATTAATCGTGGTCAGTAAATAACAGGGCATGTAGCAATAATCCTTTTCCTCCTTGAAAAACCTTGGACAATATATAAAGTGAAGGGGTATTGGAGCTGCTTTATGAGTGGAAGTCCCTGCTGAGGCACTTGTGTTATTGTATTTACAGAAGCTATATTACATCAAGCGGAGATCTGGTGCAAATCATACTGATAAAATAGGTAAGATAATAGAGAATTTATGTATATATTAACATCCACGTCTGCAGTCTCTCTTCCCAACCATGTCTGCAGTCTGTCTATGATTACAGTGGTGAGACATCACCTTGTTGACGAGTATCAACAGGATAATAATAATCCCTCCAAAAAAACCAAAAAACAATAATAAAAAAAAAATTGGGTCATTTTCAATCTACGACTGTTTGTGGGACATTGCTGTGCGCAATTGGCTGCCGCGTTCGCCCACAAATATACAGTCAATTCACTTTACAGTGTGTTCTGTGAAGCGCTTTGGGACGTCCTCCCGACGTGAAAAGCGCTATATCAAATGCAAGGATTATTATTATTATTATTATCTCGATTGATGATTTGTTCTTGTTAAGACTGGAAACGGGTCATCTCATTCTGGACAATATGGTGATCATTTCTCTGAGTAGCTTTATTTAACACAAAAAAAGGAAAACTGTTACTTAGCTATCTTAGCTAGAATTAATCACTTCATTCCCTCGCACCTCCCTACCTATTCGAGCTGCTTAGCCCCCACTCCATCATCCACTGCTTCCCCTTGGCTGACCCCAGCCTTCCAATTGTCCCTCAAGCCCTACGCACCATCATCGGTGGCCGTGCCTTCAGCCAATACTCTCCCAAAACTCTGTAACTCTCTCCCTCTATCCCTCTGCCTTGCCCCCTCCCTCCCCACCTTCAAATCCTGCCTAAACACCTTCCTTTTTGACTTGCTTACGGTCACCTCCTCCCTCCCTCTCCCCTTGGCTCATTGTCAGACTCCACCACTGTGAAGCTCTCTGGGACATTAGCCCACATGAAGAGCACAATATAAACACAAGTTGTTATTATTGTTGTTAGCTAATACGAATAGCAAATATCAAAATGTAGGTTTAGGGATGAACAGCATTTTTTTTCATGCTGAACAATTAAGTCAGTACATTGCAACCAGTAAAACTGGTATTACATTGATATTTAGTTCCTCAGTCTCTAATGCCAAATGACATTATGTTACTTGAAAGCATTTCTCTTGTCTTTACCCTCCCATATGTTTGTTACATTGATACTTCATGGCAATACTATGTTGAGTTTGCCTGTCTCACCAAGCACGACAGCTGTGGAGTTACTATGATTAGGCTCAGCATCCCTGTAGTAGTGAAGGGGAAAATTCACCCACAAAATTTACAGTCACTTCACTTTTTAGTATATACTGTGAAGCACTTTGAGACATATCAACAATATGATAAGGCACTTTATCAAATGCAAAGATTATTGTTATATTATATAAAATTAGCCAGAGTTCTGCTCTTGATTAGCAGTGAGGAACTCGTGCTGGAGATGTTGGTGTGAGATGAGGACAGGCTCATTCACAACTGAAATGGCTGAACAGCCTGTCCTCCCTTGATGACCTACTTTTGTTGATACAAATATCTAAGTCTTACTTATTCTTCTTTCCAATAGATAGTAAAGGCATGATAAAATTGAATGAAATATGAATAAGAATAATTGAACTAATATAAAAACATTGCCTCTCTAGACTTAAGCTAAAGTTCTTTTTGATTATTATTATTGTCTTATACTGTGATAATGATTTCAATAACTAGTCAATTATTTTCTACAAATCCTTTTCCTATTCACTTTCTGAAACATATTTATCTTAAGGGAAGACATACTTGTTGCTTTTGCACCAACCCGATTTCTTAGTCTATGAAACATTTTTCACTCTTTTTAACTCCTTTTCAAAGTTACTTTAATTTACGTCCTGTTCTGTTTGGAATTCTCCATACTCTATGCTCCATTTTTTCAATGAGAGGTTGGTTAGGACATTGGCTCCTAGATCTTTTTCAATCCTGTTTTTGTATTGTTTGTTAAGGAGTTTGCAATCCCGATGGTTTGAGTCACCCTTTGAAAAATGGAAATGAAACAGGGAAATTGCAGAAGCAAATCTTCATCCCACTTCTCTATAATTCTCGAAATATGGATTTCTAAATACCTGAACATATCTGCTTCTGGAACATAGGTTTGGTTATACATTTTTTTAATTTAGATAATTATCTTGCAAAGTCTCATTCAGATCATATTCAAGGATGATGAGGATTGACACTCTACCAATAATTGCAATTTATATACTAAGAAATGTGTTGACCTTAATGTCCGTCACAGTACAGAATGGTGGGATTTTACACCTCCATAACTCTAAAGCAATTTGCAATTTGAAAAATTCAACAATAAAAATTGGGGGTAAAAATGTTTGAATAAAATCCTGCAATCAAGAGTAATATAAACAGTGCATATTTTTGTTGATTCAAACATTATGCCTCATGCTTGCATTTGTTAAAGTTTTATTATCACATTGAAGTGCCTCAATTGTCTCAGTTACATTACTTTGAAGAACAGTGTTGTTTTTAGTTAGGCAAACACAACATAAAATCTGCATCAGCATTGTCCCCAAAACAGCATTGAGACACATTAACAATTTATGTGTTTTTCTGAAGTAGCAGGTGAAGAATTTTGAATGAGATAGGAATATTGGTAAGAACACTGGGAGAAATTCCTGCCTGTCTCTATAATAATGCAATGATATCTTTAATGTCAACCTGAACCACAAGAATAAGGAAGAGAGGTTTTAGCATTAACAACTCATCAGAAGGTCAGGCAGTTTCAACAATGCAGCACTCTCTCAGTGTTCGATTGGAATGTCATCATAGATTAGGATTAATCCCAGTGCTATCAACCGGTAAACTGAAGTTAGAATATTAGCCTGAATTGACATTTGAACCAGCCTGTCTTGGTTGTGCCACAATCTAGTGTACAAAAATCACATGTAAGGTTCAGATGAAGAAGTTCCCTCGGTCCATTTGATCTCATACTTCCACAATATAGCATCAACAACAACAACAACAAGATTCCATTTATAAAGCATCAATATTTTCCTTAAATGAACCCAGTTTCCTAACGTCAACCACCTTTCCTGATAACCCATTCCAGTTCTTAACTGCCTTCTGTGTAAAGAAATACTTCCGGGTGTCTATCCTGAAATTGCCTTTTATAACCCTGAAAGTTGCTCTCTTGTTCTGCTACCATGATGTATCTGAAAATTCAGGGTTTATTTTCTCAATCCAATTTAGAGTCTTCTACACTTCTATAAAGTTCCCTCTAAGATATAGTTTTTTCATTGATCTCTAGCCCTAGTTTACCTAATTATTGTTCATATCTCATCCTTCTAACAGTGAAGATCATCCTCATTGATTTAATCTCATTTGGGAAGAAAATCTAGTGAAACCCATCTATTTTCTACAAATGCCTTAACTACTGGTTTTGATATAGGGTGATACTTATGAAGAAATCACAATCCTGCCTCAGGGCCTGCACAGGTGTCAAGGATGAGGACTTATGGAATAGTAATTGAAATGCTAATTTTGTGTTATCTTTGTTATAATACTCTGATGAATTGGCTGCCACGTTTTACCCACAAAATATAGTCAATTCACTTTACATTGTATTTTGTGAAGCGCTTTGAGACATTTGAATGACGTGATAAGATGCTATATCAAATGCAAGGATTTTTTTAATATTAATTAAGGACATCAACATCAGCACTGATGTCATAAATACTGGAATAGTACATAAAGAGCATGCTAAAAATGATTGCGTTATGAAACTAAACCAGTTGGCATGTTTTGTAAAGGTTTTAGCATATACCAGATACTGTATGTGTGGCTAATGGCTAGGTTTCATACCCTTGCAACATCTAGAGTGCTAAAATCTTTGAAAAAAACATGCCAACTGTTTTCATTTCTTAAATCAAACAGCAACCTAAATAAATGCATGTTTAAATTCATCATTGCAATCATGGGCATGCTTATGCTATTAACAAAATATTTATATTGATTTTGCAATTCACTTGATTTTTCTAACTCCCTAAACTCTGAAACAGATATAAATCACATACTTAACCCCCAAACGACATTTGCCCAGCGTGATATTCAATGCATTGTCCAGTATCTGTAGCTGTGAGCCACTGTACTCCTTGTCTTGGAGAATAGGATACCAGAATCTGTCAGAACTACAATCTTAATATTTGATTCAGTATCTGAAGTCAACACTAGCCAACGATACACTTCTTTTATCTAAGTTAAGGTAGTGATTTATAGTCAACACAACTAGGCACTATCTGTGGGAAAAAAAAACAGAAAATAAATATCACATGGCTTTACCTTTAACCACTCTGAAGCCAGTCGGAGCCATCAAGATGGGAAGATTCCCAGGATATACTTGTTCTTCTGGCAGAGGCTTGTAACCGCTGGTGGCCATGGGGACCAGGTTATGAGGTGAGGAATTAGTCACCATGCCAACCTGCTGTACAACAGAGTTCTTCTTGGACTTGCAGATGCTTAACTCCTCCTCTGCGAGGATATCCAGGTAAAGCCCTTGTTTGATTTTTCTGATTCCTAAATGAATGATTTCAAGTATATTCAAAAACAAGGAGAAGGCAGCAATACTGAGCATAAAGACAATGAAAATAGTCTTTTCTGTGGGTCTGGAAACAAAACAATCTACTGTGTTGGGGCAGGGCAACCGTATACATTTGTAAAGAGGATCCAGATGAAATCCATAGAGGAGATATTGACCCACCATGAAACCAACTTCCATCGCTGATCTAGTCAGGATGTGGAGGACATAGGTGCGTAAAAGTGAACCACGGAGCGGTGCCTTGTTTACTTTCCTCTGTTCTTCCAACTTTCTCAGTTCCTTTTCTAGCCTTCTGTGCTCCTCCAACATGGGTTCAATGTCTTCCAGTTCAGCTCGGAGGTGGGCTTTCTTCCGCTGCCTTTCTTTCTCCAGTGCTCTTAGCCTGTAGAGCGCATGGCCCATGTACACCAAGGATGGCGAGGACACAAAGATGACCTGTAAGACCCAGAACCTGATGAGAGAGATGGGAAAAGCCTTATCGTAACAGACGTTCCTGCAGCCTGGTTGATCTGTATTGCAGATAAACTCAGCTTGTTCATCGTCCCAGACATCTTCAGCAGCCACTCCAAGAACCAGCATGCGGAATATGAACAGGATGGTTAACCAGATCTTCCCCACGATGGTTGAGTGAATGTGAACCTCTTCCAAAATGCTCCCCAACAAATTCCAATCTCCCATCTTCACAACCTCATTTCTTCCTGACCTGGAACAGTCATTACATCAATTTGTTTAAAACATTTGCGCCATTGAACAGATGAGTGAAACTATCCAATGATCTTACTGAATCCAGCATCCTAAATTTCACAAAGTACTTGGGAGAGAAATTCCTTTGGGTGTAGTTCCTAAAAAAAACTTTAAAAATGGGCTTTAAAATTAAAACTGTACTTAAGAATTTGCCAAATCCTGGATGGTCAGAATTGTTAAGAAAGTACCCATATAGAATTTCTCTTGTATGGAATCTCTTTGAAGCCAGAATTTAAAACTGGTCCTCAATATCTGTTCATATTGTTGCACAATATTCATAAATCCCATTCCTTTCCCAATCGATTCCCCTGACACTTTACATTTGACATTGCCCATATTTTGTATAATTTAAATTTCTCCGAAAATGCACAGAATTTAGCTAGAGAGTTTTATATACCAGTCTTCTTTCTATGTAACGTTATCTCCTCATATCCATCTTTATCAACTTCATTGGCAGCCAAGGACAATCTCGCTGGTGGTATTTATTATATGCACTGTACTGACAGCTGTTAGCTTAAAATAGCTGAAAGAAACATTTTTAAGAGACAATTGCATTAAACATACAATTACACAATGACTTTGAACTATACGTTTTCAGCTGTAAGTTCCAGAAATGCTTTCTCTTGACCAAGTTATTTAGAAGGCTTTGACTTTCTATGTAGGAAAAGTACTCACCAAACTTTAAAAATAAAAAAAGTTTTAAAAAAAATTAGGGCTCAGTCTGCACCGCTTGCTAAATGTTGTTGGTGATGTCCCTTGAATAGTGTTGAAAGAACAAAAGAAAAATGTTTACTGGTGCCCGCACTCTCATCATAGCGCTGTTGAATTGGTCCCAGAATCCAAACTATAGCAATCCAATTGTCAAAGTACTTTTTCTCTGGGTCGATTACAAATTGATTTAATGGTGTCTGGAATCCCCAATTGTCATGCAATTACTGGAGGATTTGGTTATAATATTAGAAATGCCCCTCAGGCTGAAAACGTACTCAGTGGTCCTATTAATATGTTCACTTTAATTATATTCATTGTGTGCAACGCAGCTCAGAACCAAACAGAATACAAATCCTAATTTTGTACCTCCGCACATATTAACATATATATATATATTTTTCAATTGTGATAATCTGGTCTTTCGTCCACAAAACTGTAATGAAAATCTCAAAACTCCATTATTTGTCATACACATGCACACATTAGAGTTGCAATATAACCAGCAGGAAATCAATGTGTTTTGCAAACTTGAGGACAGAGATCAATAGGTCATGTCCGATTTCATAATCAACTGCCTGGGTGTTGTTTTCAAGAACGTTGTTGGTTATATTCATTTCTAATGCTTATTAGATAGAAATGTTACACTGAATAGTGAGGTATTGTTTTATCTGATCACCTGACTGTTGTTATCTGAGTTACTTGCTTGGAATCATGAATTTTTTCATAAAACATTCAAAATATTTAGGAATAAGATTTGAATAATAAATGCAAATCTTCGTGAGTTCTGAATAGAATTGTAACAAAATTATACCACATGGTTGGTGTTGATTCATTGTGATTTCAGCCTCAAATTGATGTTAAACATGTTGTGGTTTGAGGTGGATGAACTGATATCCATTGAATATGGAATGTGGCTCATGAAACCACAGTCAGGAGGTGAATTCAAGTCTGACAACAAAGACAAATTACATTTGTATAGCGCCTTTCATGTCAGGAGGACCTTCTAGGACACTGGACAGTTAGGTTTTGGTTATAAAGTCAACTTACATTTTTGTTTGAAAACTAGAGATCCTGGCAAGAATAATAATCTGTTCTTAAAGTTTTTAATATTCTCAGAGGGCGAGACACAAATTTTCTCTCTCTCTCTCTCTCTCTCTCTCTCTCTCTATATATACAGTAGAGCTCTGCCTGGTTTAGTTGTGCATCCATTGATATTATCTTAACTTGGAATCAAACCCAGGAGTGTAACTGGGAGTATTAAGGGACCTCTTTCCTCAACTTCCAGCTCCACCTTCTGGCACCTCTTCTGTCTGATGTTATCAACCTCTTCTTGTCCACCGGTTCAATTCCCATCCCCCTAAAAACAGCCATCATCACCCCCATCCTGAAAAAACCTTCTCTAGTCCGATCCCTCCTCTCCAGCTACCACCCATCTCTGACTTCCCATTCTTCCCCAAGGTCCTGGAACGAGTCGTCGGGTCCTAGCTCCACTACTTTCTTTCTCGCCATTCCCTCTTTGAACCCCATAACACGGAAACAACCCTGGTCACAGTCACTAATGACATTCTTACATCTGTGATCAAGACTCCCTCTGCCTCCTTGTCCCCCTCGACCTCTCTGCAGCCTTCGACACTGTCAACCACTCCATCCTGATACACCGCCTCTCCTCTTTACTCAATCTTCGCGGACCTGCCCTTGCCTGGTTCGATTCCTATCTCTCTCACCATCTCCACTTTGTTGCTTCTGACGGTTTCTCCTCCAGCCCCCGCACTGTCACATCTGGCGTCCCCCAGGGCTCTGTCCTTGGTCCTCTCCTCTTTAATATCTGCACGCTCCCCCTTGGTGACATCATCCGCAGGCATGGGGTCAACTTCCATATGTATGCGGATGACACCCAACTCTATCTTTCTGCCTCAACCCTCAACTCCAGGACCACTGCTGTCCTGACAGACATCAAGTCCTGGATGAGGGCAAATTTCCTACAGTTGAATGTGAACAAGACTGAGGCCCTCCTGATTGGCTCGCGCCAGCGCCTCAGCACCTCAGGCTCTGGCAGCATCAACCTCCACTACACTCTACTACAACTCACCAAGCCAGTCAGGAACCTTGGTGTCTTGTTCGATCCTCAACTGTTTTCTTCCCCACATCCGAACCATGACCCGCTCTGCCTTCCCTCACTTCCGTAACATAACCTGACTGTGCCACTACCTCACCCCTCAGGCCACTGAAACTCTTGTTCATGCCTTCATCACCTCCAGGCTCAACTTTGCAAACGCCCTGCTTGTCGGCCTTCCCAACTCCTCCCTCCATAGGCTGCAGATAATCCAGAACTCTGTAGCCCATGTCCTCTCCTGCACCAAAGTCCGTGATCCCATCTTCCCCATTCTCACCCGACTCCATTGGCTCCCTATCCTTCAGAGGATCCAGTTTAAGATCCTGATCGTCACCTACAAAACCCTCCATGGCCTCGCTCCACTCTACCTCAGCGACTTCCTAACCCTCAACCAACCCGCCTGCTCCCTGCTCCACGTCCCCTGACCCACACGCCCCACCATTGGCGGGAGAGCCTTCAGCCACTTTGCCCCCAAACTCTGGAATTCCATCCCCCAATCATGCCACCTCGCCCCCTCCTTAGCCTCCTTCAAGTCCCATCTCAACAACCATGCCATCGGTCACACCCCTTCCCCTCCCCTCCCTTCTCCCTCCCTGACCCCAGCTCGGATCTGTATTGCTGTATACTGTCCAGCGCCTTGGGATGTCCTCCTGACATGAAAGGCGCTATACAAATGTAATTCTGCTTTTGTTTTGCATATCTCTTGACCTTTCCACTCCACCATTGGTCGCCACACTTTCAGCCACTACATCCTGAAACTCTGGAATTCCTTGCCATTGGCAGATCGCTCTTCCGGGGGTAATAATTCCTTCAATAATAATTTGGTCACTCAGTACACGACTGTTTGTGGGACACTGTTGTGCGCAATTGGCTGCCACATTTCGCCCACGAATATACAATCAATTAACTTTACAGCAAATTCTGTGAAGTGCTTTGAAACGTCTGGAAGACGTGAAAAAGGGCTACATCAAATGTAAGTATTATCATTATTTGTCTGTCTTCATATTGCTACTGAAACCTTTCCTCTTCAACTGTGCCTGTGGTTACCTCCCCCCGTTTTTCCAGCCTGGCATCAAACTTCACTATTGCTCAGCTCTCTGTGTAAAGGGCGCTAATATAAATGCAACTTTTGCTAGTATGCCATTGAAGAGTGTTCTTCGTTGATGATACGCTGAATGTAGTCAATGTAAAATTGTTGCCAACTCAATGATGTACAACTCATGTACAATGGCATTATATCGTGTCAACCCTAATCAAAATTAGTGATGATATCCTATCAGTTTGTGAACACTGAAGACAATTTGGTTCTTTGAGCTTGCTCTGCTAAAGACCAGTATATGCTACCGCCCCTACTCCTACTTTCTTGCCTTCTCACCATTGTTTAACATTTCGATTTCCCAAGTGGAACACTCTATCACCTTCTCTATCATTAACTCAAATTCTTATATTGTGTTTGCCAAAAGCTTTATTTAGCTTCAAGTTGATATGTGCTCAGTATAGTAGCATTGTCCATGTTGAAGGTAGAATCCTGGAAATTTTGCCAGTTCATACTACATATTGGCAAGTGTAGCAGACTGCAGTGATTTTGAAAGCCCGGTAGATCCTGAAAAAAGCACTTGAATCCAATCATTATTCTTGGGAACTATGGACTCATTCTACATTCTGAAGATTTATTGCAAAGAAAATGCTGAGAGTTCCTAAATAACCAAGGGATTCAAGAAATGAATGACGTGTTCCTGCTTCATGAAAAATTGAGAGAATGGTTTGTAGGATGGGGGAGAAAATACTTTCACCTTATTAAATACGGTATAATAACTTGATAACTAAGCTAAGACAAACAAAGACTCTGAAAACAATGTTTTATTGATAATATAAATAATACACCACTCATACTGTCAAATTCTGTATTATACTATGGTGCAATATAGATATATATAGCCAAAATAATATTCATCAACAAAGTACAACAGTTTGTAAAGTTAAAACAAATTAACACAAATATTTATTGTGCCTGCCCCAACCAAAAAAAAGTGATTTTTTTNGTTGGAAGATTGAAGGTTTCAGGCCTAGTCAGGACATGAGCTCATAATTTAGTCACTCCAGTGCAATACTGGGAGAGTGCTGCATTTGTCAAAGGTGCTGTACTTCGGATTAAACTTTAAACCAAAATCCAGTCTGCCAGTTCTTCAGGTGAACATTATTTTTTTTTATTTTTAAAGAGGAAGACGTATTGCCCAACAATCTTCAAAAAATGATTGGTAGCTTATCTCACAGCTTTTAGACCTTGTTTCACTCCAAATGGCTGCTGCTACTACAAAATCATCTACAGTTTTTAACCTTATTTTCTACAAACTGTAACATTGCATTGTTAATTGGAACAATAAAATTGATGGTTCTTTCATTCACTTCAGCAGTTAATGTTTTAGATACTAGGCAGTAATAATAAAGGACAATCAATTTGCTTGGTTGCAAATTGGTCTTTGGCTGTTTCACTCTATTTAAAATATAATTTTAAATTACGAGCCCGCAAATTGGAAACACATTTTACCTTGCCCCTCCCCCTCCCTCTGGCTCGTTATCAGACTCCGCCACTATGAAGCGTTCCGAGATGCTATCTTGCATAAAGAGCGCTATATAAATATATTTATAGATAAATATATATAAATGTACATGTTGTTGTATATGGTTTAAACAATTTATAATTATACCCCTGTGCAATTTTCAAGTGACATCTTATGTCAAACTGTGCATTTTGTAGGTGAATACAATTTATGCACAGCAATGTTTCATAAACAGCCATGAATTGACAAACCAATTTTGTCTGGAGGATTACTCGTAGGACAGCAGGAAAAACTCCCTTCTCTTTTCAAATAATGCTTTGAGGTCTTATCTTTAACGTCTACCTGAATAGTTAGGCAGACCTTGGCTTTAATGTCTCAATGAAGGAATGGTGGCTCCAAGAATGCAGCACACTCCCAGCACTGCATTGGAGTACCAGCATAGATTAAATGTGTTCAAAGTCTTGACATGGGGCTTGAACCCACAACCTTCTGACTCAGAAACGAGAATAGTACCAATTTAGCAGAGCTGCCAAATACCGAATATAACGTAGTATGTAATATAATTAATTGAATGTAACACAATGAACATAATAATATAATGATACTGAATAAAATATACCAGATACCAAATCTAAATATAAACTTGCATTTTCATCACTGTTAACCACTTGAATTTCTTCAACATTTTCTGCTTGTTGTCTGAAGCAATTCTTCACACTCAGTTACAAACGAACTGTAAAAGACCTTCAGAAAAATAATGCAGTTGAAAACAGAAATTATAAAAGTCATAGAAATGATGCACACATCCGGAATCAATTATTCTTAGACCCTGTCTCACAAAGAATCTGACTTGAAAAGTACAAAAAGCTGAAACTGATTGTGGCCGAACAGCAATCAATTCTAAATCATGAGACTTAAGCACAAAAACTTGCTTCAAAGTTAAAACTGAATTCAATAATTTGCCAAACTCTGCAGACTCTGAAGTGCTATGTAAATCCAGAGCTGGTGTAAGTTTAATCCAAACTTTTTTTAAAAAATGTGAATATTATGAGATGTGAAATGGCACTTGAGGTAGCAATGCATAAATATCAGAATTAATATTAATAAACATCTAACAATATTTAACGAGCTGCACAGGATTTTTATTATTATTACTTTGTTTATTTGAAAAAGTCAGATTAGTTTGGTGTATTTATTTTTCCAGTAGTTATTGAATTTAAGTTGTGGTGGAAATCTAAGAAAATAATTTAGCAGCAGCAGACCTCAATGGACAGACTTGTGTTTTGATTTGGTAATATTTGCTTTTCATCTGGTCCAGCAGTTATGTCATGGTTTTCCCAGTGGTGGTATATGTATAATGTTAGCTGTCCAAAAAGTCTCCAAATTGATTCCTGGCATGAGACATGATAAGGAGTTATATCAAATGCAAGGATTATTATTATTACTACTCTAGAGCACCTATCCAGCTAGTCTACTTATCTCATCAATAGGATGGAATGGAAATCATAATTAGTATCATAATCCTTCCCACTGTGCTCCTTATTACTCTAATAGCCAGTGCACGTAATAGATAGGCAGTTCTAATTGCATAAGCAGAAGGAAGCATTCCAGTGCTCATACTGCAAAGATGAGTAGTTGTTACAGCACAAATAGCATGTAAACTCGTGGTAGAATTGGGTCTGTGAAAAATACTGCATCAGGGGCTCATTCTTGTGAGGCCAAAATACAACTCACTGTGAATAGAAACAATACTGAAATTGTAGTTTGTTTGACATTCTTACTAATACTTTATCATGCCTGAAGGGTGCTATATAAATTCAGGTTGCTGTTCTAATAATAGTAAAATCCTTGCATTTAATATAGCATCTTATCACGTCATTGTTGTTGTAATACATTTCTAGGAAATAAAGTAGCTTCCAAATCGAATCATAGAATGTTACAGTACAATACAGAACATGCCATTCAATCCATCAAATCTGCGCTGGTGTTTTTCTCCAGCTAAATGAGCTAATGCTAATCCCCTATTTGCTTCCTAATTCCTTTAGTATTTACTTTTGCAAATCAGTTCTACATTCACATTCTACAATCACACTTTTATGTGACCCAAATGTAGAACCAAATGAAGTTGGTTCATTCAATCTGCTATCAATAAAACAACCATTCTACTTGCTGGATCATAAAAGGAATGTGACATTAATTACATTAACATTCTGTTAAGACAATAAATATTTGCATCCACTATGTATCCACTATTTTTTAAAATTTGTATTCTCTTTAATTTGCCTTACTTTTGAAAGTCGGGTGATTTGCTGATCACATTTTCAAACTCTGAAAATGACAACATGAAATCATCATTTAAATCTCCCTCTTCCATAATCTGTTAGGAAAACAAAAGAAATGACAATAAAATTACCAATAAATAACAATAAATATCAGGAAATAGGCCATCACCTTACTCTTTAATCATGACTGAATTTTCACCAATAAGGTTACACTATAACTTATATATAAGTTTACACATATACTTAAACCCCAGCTAACTGAACTAATGGGCTGGGGGGTGGAGGGGAGGGAAATCCCATCCGGCGACCAGGAATTTCCAGTAAACTGTAATCACAAGGCCAGTATCAACATTACCGGCATTTTTCAGAAGATAACAAATAAGGTATTATCTGCTTCGTGATTCAAAAACTCTGAGTCAAAGTTGTTATCCCTGGTCACAAGTCAGAGGACAGTAAGGATACTCAAGCCACGTTGATGCGTGCTAGGAGTTGGGAGTCTGCATGGGAGTCTGCTTTGCAAAGAGCCGGCGCAGACACAGTGGGCCGAATGACCTCCTTCTGTGCTGTATGATTCTATGATTCTAATCATCCTAAAGTATTGATCCCCCTCTCTTGCCACCTTCAAGACCCATCTCAGGACCCTCCTCTTCAACCACCAGCTCGGGTCCAAAACTCCGTCTGTCCAGTGCCTTGGGATGTCCTCCCAGGGTGAAAGGTGCTATACAAATGTAATTTTGTTATTGTTGTTGTTGTTGTTGGGCTCACTTTTTCAATCCCATTTATAATTTGTACACCTCTATAAGGCCCTCTCTGAGTTGTCTTCTCTTAATCCTGAAGAGCTCTAACACATCTAGTCGTTGCTCAGAGCTCATTCCTCTAACACTAATGCAAGGTGTGGTCTGACTAGAGCACGTACAGCCTGAGAATGACACCTGGGGATCTAAACTCAACTCCAAAACAAAACAATAATAAATTGGTCATTTTGAATCCACGTCTGTTTGTCGGACACTGCTGTGCACAACTGGCTGCCGCGTTTCGCCCACAAATATACAGTCAATTCACTTTACAGTTTATTCTGCGAAGCGCTTTGAGACATTAAAAGACGTTAAAAGCGCTATATCAAATGCAAGGATTATTATTATTATTATATCAAATGCAAGGATTATTATTATTATTATTATCAACTGAATTAGCAATGCAGCCCAGCATCCCATTTGTCTTGCTTATTGCTGCCTCACATTGTTTTGACTTAGTGAACAATAAGTCAACAACATCTTTCAGCTTCCCCCATGGTAAGTCCAATCCCATTCATGGGGTACTTGTGTTTCCTATTCTTGTATCCTATATATAGGATTTACATTTATCAGTATTAAACTAATTATTACTTGCCAATTTTGCCCCATGTGGATACTCTATCAAGCTCTCTTTGTAGTACCTTTGCTCCTCTGATTCCACAGTTCCCTCCAACTTGGTGTCATCTGCAAATGTAACTATCTTACACTGGGTCTGCAATTCCAAGTCATTAATATATATGAGGAACAGAAGTCCCAGTAGAGATGTCTGAGACATTCTGCTTAGTATTTCTTGGCATTTTGACCTAGCTCCTCTAACAAAGACCCTCTGCTTCCTTCCCTTCAGCTAATTCTGAATCCATGTCCATGTCTTGCCCTTGATACCCAGTGACCACAGTTTGTGAAAGAGTCTTTCATGTTGTACTTTGCCAAATGTCTTTTGGAAGTCTAGATGTATTAGATCATATGGCTTCCCACAGTCAATTTGGCTGTCACCTCCCCCAAAATAATCTATGAGACTGGTCAGACAAGACCTACACTTTCTGAACCCATGCTGGCTGTCAATTACCAAGATTATTTTATATAAGTAATCTTTCACTTCCTTTCTTGTGGTTGACTTCATAATTTTTTGTATTATTGAGGTCAGACTAATGGGTCTATAGTTGCCAGATTTAATTTTGAACTCAAATTATTAAGTCTTATAATCTATTACTGAAATGTAACTGTGTTCTATATTTCAGTACAGTTTGTTATAGATTGGAAACTGCAATAGAATTTGAATAACATTTTGTGAAATGTTTTGCTCATATTAAAATTAATGCTGCACTGCCTTATGTTGTCTTACTTGTACTTTGCGTATTGTGTTAAAACTATAAAAGATTAATTAGAATGCCATTTTTCTTACATAATGAGTCAAAATTTGTATGTTCTCTTCAGCCATCATCTCCTTTAGTCAAACGAAGTATGATGTGCCTTAAGTCATCTTCATCAATATAATTATTTCCATTTATATCTATTTGTAAAAGTAAAAATAAGATTAATTTTCAAGCTACTGGACAAAAAGAAAAGATTCACAATAGTTTAATAATTTATATTATATTGCGCCTTTCAGTTCTGGAGAATGTCTCAAACGAGTGCTCACCCAATCCTTACTCCCTCCATACCCTTCTATTCCCCTCGCTCCTTGTATGATGGTCTATCTTCCTCTTGAATACATCTAATACATATCAAATGCAAGGATTATATTAAATGCAAGGATTATTATTGTGTAGATGCAACCAGGTAGTGTAGATGCAGTCAAGCCAGCAAGTTGCACAATCTCACTAGCCTCTGCGTAAAGTAGTTCCTCCTAAATTCTCTTTTAGATCCCCTAGTTGCTATCTTATATTTGTGTACCCTGGTTACCATTGGGTTACAACCAGTGGCTTGGCTGAATTGCCTCTGTGCTCAAATAACCTGCTGACACTAACCAAATCTCAGATATAAACAATGTCTACAGGCGGTGTCAAGCAGCCATGAAGTAGAAGAGAAGAGGAATAAATTTACTGGAGAAAATAAACAAGAAAAAAAAGTGTTTCAAGATGCTGCAGACTTGAAAGGTGCTCTATAAATGCAATCTTGTTGTTGTAAATTCAAACATTTAGAAACTGTTATTCATGTTAACGTTCAAGCCCCAATGGTGTCTATATCTATCTATACAGTACAGAGATTTTATTCCATTTGATGAAGGTCTATAAACTTTTTAATCTCATGATTTTTTTAAAGAAAACTACCCTGATTTCTTATGTACACAGGTTGGTGAGAGCCAAGCTTGAGAACCTTAGAGTGTGTGTTGGAGTACTGCTGGAGTTCAACCAGCTAAAACCATATACCTTGCCATTGAGACTATTGTCTGGCAAGCTTCCCACTGCTTATCCAGCCCTAGTTGATAGATCTTAGACTGGCAAGATTAACACAAACTGAGTGGGAAGAATTCCTGCTTCCAGTGACCATTCTACCCCTCCATTCCTGCTGTAGAGCAAGGGTATGTCATCAGCAGTGCCTTGGAGTACTGCATAGAATCATTGAATATTAAAGCACAGAAGGAGGCCATTCAGGCCATTGTGCCTGTGCCAGCTCTTTGTAAGAGCTAACCAATTAGTCCGACTCCCCGACTCTTTCCCCATATCCTTGCAAGTTTTTCCTCTTCAAGTACCTCTCTAATTCCCTTTTGAAAGTTGTTATTTAATCTGTTTCCACCACACTTTCAGGCAGTGCATTCCAGACCATAACAAATCTCCTAAGCCAATTCCTAAACCAGGTAGGAATCGGACTACTGAGACTGCCACCAAAGGATGACTCTCAATTCCAACATCCTGATGCCAAGCACATCACCTTCGAGACAGCTTGGATCCAGGCCAGCAACCTCCCACCCCTCCCCCCATACACTTACAAATACACACACACACAGGAGGATTGTGCCTAGCTGGGCATTAGAAATTGGCAAGCACAGGTTTAAGCCCTCACTAGGATACTACATATGATTAATAGTTTTAGGTGAAAATAAATGTGTATTTTCAACCCTGAAGAACTCACCATAAATTCGAAATGCATATCCTATCTTTACAGTGAGTGATGCATTTTCACTGAAGGCTGACATCATTTCTAGAAAGTCCTCAAATGAAAATGTCCCATTTGTATTCGTGGAAAAGACCTTACAGATTCGGTCTCTGAATGGATTCACCTGTTTCAAATAATATGTATTGTAAAAAGTAGGAGTAAGAGTGCTGAATTCTTGTTCAAGAGTAACGTTGGAGTTAAACCTTTTCACTGTCGCAGATCGGAATGCCTGTTGAGAAACGTCCACAGGCCGCATAAGCAAATTTTGTGTTTCCCTTCCAGAAACATAACATCTAAACAAGGCCCTTTCCACAATGAAAGGATGTCTCAAAGCTCTCGACACTGCTGACTAAGCTCCTGAGTTGGGGCTGGGAGACAAGGCTGCTGGAGAGGGGAAAAGATGACCGAAAGTCCGGTCAAAGATTTAGAAATGCCTTGAAAGAGGAGAGATGAGGGAGTGAGTCGGAGGGATTCTAGAAATGGAGCTCCAGAGAGTGGGGGCAAAATGGCGATAATGGGACAGATGGGGTGCGGGAATATGAAGCAAGCCGGTGTTCGCTGGGTAAACAGAGTGGCAGGGTCGTGAGGTTACAGAGGTAGGAGAAAAAGGGAGCCTGCTATGAGGAAATGATATGGCATGATGCTCAGTGTCTCTCTTCAGTTCCTCCCTGTGGCAGCTGAGGGAGTCTGTCCTGCCAATGAACCACAAAACGGTGCCCACACTTCTCCTCTCGCTCTCTCTGCCTCCCAGCTACCCGGACTATTGGGGTGGTGGGGTGGGGGCAGATTCAGATGGAATTTCTGGCTAAGTCTAATTTACAATGCGAGTACCAGCATTTATCAAAAATACCGGTAAAGTATTCTAATTGTTTGAATCCCGCAACTAGAAGATAGCTTATTCATTATCGTCTGCTCACTATTCACTATCTTATTCACTATCTTCTGCTCACGCGATTCAATTAATCTGAATCAAAGTCAAGAAGGCCCAGCAGCAATGGTGCAGCTGCTCAGTGTGGAGTTGCCATGTGCTAGGAGAGTGGGCAGTCGGGATCCTCGGAAACATTTGGTCTGTGGAATTTTTAAAAAAATATTTCAGATCCAGTCTTTGCGAGGTTTGAATTCTGGATACCTGGAGTTCAGTAAGCTACTGTACTCAGGTACACTATTCTCAAATCTTGGACAGACTTAGGAGCCTCGTGGCTTGCCTATATAGTCAACCATGAGAGAAGTTCATCAGACAGACTGCTGAGATTCCTGAGCCAATGCTGCCCACCAGTGGTCTAAGTAAGGGACTATAGAAATGTTGAAACTTGGGTAGAGAGCCTGTCTCTAATTTCAATAAGCCCTTAAAGATGTTCACTCCGGGTCTTGTTTGACCCTCAACTATCCTTTCTACCCCACATTTAATAACAAGATTATTATTGTGCACACTTAGTCTGCCTCACGGATCTGTAAGCGATCAATGCTTCAAAATCACTATTTGATCTCGCAGAGTATTCCGTTTAATTGTCATTGCTGGAATCAGTGAGTTATGTTAAGGAATCATGAGACACATTTTCAGGATTTAGCTCAAATCTCTAACAAACAGCATTGCAATCAGTCATTCTGTTTGAATGTCACACCTAGAAATGCCTGGCTGAGGCTGAAAAAGAAATTAAATGTCAGCATGGATCAGTTGGTAGCACTTTGGCCTCTGAGTAGAGGTTGTGGGTTCAGGCCCCACATCGGGACTTTGAACTCACACAGTCTAAGCTGACAGTGCAATGCCATGTTGGGGGTGCATTGCATTATTGCAAGTGCCGCCCGTTGGATGAAACATTAAATTGAGCTTTTGTTGCCTGTTCTGGTGAATGTTAAAGATCTAATTGTATTATTCAAAAAGACAAAGAAGTTTGTTCCAGTGTCCTGGCCAATAATTCGCCTACAAAAAACAGTCGTTGTACTTTCCAGTAAAGCCTATAAAGGACTTTGAGACATCCCTTAGATGTGAAAGGCACTACATCAAATGCAAGGATTATTATTATTTTAATAGGTTAATCCTGGGACTAGATATTCACAAATTCTGATCCTTCACCTTGGTCATACACCACCTGAATATTGATTGAATGGAAGACAATAGAGTGAATATTGCATTATTTTCGATATTTATCACAAATAAATTTACCCCTTCCCCGAAACTATGCTTTTTTTGACCCTGTGAAGCCATTGAATGTTTGGCTCATTTTTTTGGCTAACATTTTTTTCAGAAACGGAACACTCAGGGTCTCTTAAATACATCTCAAAGCTGTGTCAATGCCCAGCCTGATGGATGTTGCAACTGAGAGTGCTATTCATAGGTGGGAAGAAGGGCTGCCTCAAGCAGTAAACAACTGACAAAATCAATGCGCTGATCAAGAAAATATTAGGTTTATTTTAGGTAAGTGACACAGTATTATCATTGGATACCTGACCAAAGGATATCTAAGAGGCAGCTAAGAACTTTAAATCTAAAACTTTAAAGATTTCCTCTTGACAAGATGGTAACAGGCACTTTACTGGCCACTTGGAAAATAGGTGTTCCACAATAATAATAATAATAATAATAATAATAATAATAAGTCACTTGGAAAGCCATTGGTTGGAATGAGGTTTACCTAATACTTTGGAACAGAAGCTACTAAGTTATTGAAATGAACAGATTCAGTCTGATGCATATAGAAAATTATAAGATCAATTTTCAGTTATAGTGAAAACATTGTCAGTGTCAGATTAAAGGTGAGACAAATAGAACAAGGGTATAGCTATCTGGTACATAAGGAAGAAATGGAAAATTAGCTCAAAAAAGAACATAAGTGAAGCCTAAGAAACATTTGATCAATGCACAAGATAAGGTGCATTGTGGCTGGATCTCAGTATCCTGAATGGCTGGACCTCAGTATCTCAGTATCAATTGCATTGAGACGTAATCTTTGGTTAAACTATTTGAACGCACACTAACTACACAGTTTAAAGAGTGAATAAATAAGGTTGTAAAAAATCAAACAAATGTCCCAGTTCAGAACAGTGAAGCTGAAGAAAATTCATTTTGCAGACCTGTTTCTTTAAGTGATAAATAAACTAATGGGCCTAAAGATTTGAAAAATGCCATCTCATGGGCATAAATATAACTTGACTTGTCATAGGTCAAGGTAAAGATGATGAAAGAACCTCAAAGGAAAGTGAACTGATACCTGATGAAAACCATTACATTCATTTCTTCTACGTTATACTGTACATTGTTTGAGCCTAGAAGAAATCTGACTTCAGGGGAAAAAAAAGGAATCAACATGTCTTCAGTAGGAGAATAGGGGAGAAAATTGCTGGAAAAAATTGGAATGATAAGAACACAAAACACATTTGAGGAACATCAGATTTGTTGTTGTATTCATCATGAAGCCCACCACCTGCTGCCTCGAGCCCCTCCACATTGGTCACCCAACTTACCCTCCTCTCCCCGCTGCTGGCAGACAGTCATGGCCTGGCACCTCCCTGCCTCTCCGACCTGTTTACCCCCTAACCCACAACCCATTGCCTCCGCTCGACTGGCTCCAGCCTTCTGCATGTCCCTCATACCCTCCATTCCACTATTGGTGGCCGTGCTTTGAGCCACTACACCCTGAAACTCTGGAACATTCTTCCTCTATCCCTCCGCCTTGTCCCTTCCTTCCCCATCTTCAGGTCGCGCCTGAAGACCTTTCTATTCAACCATGCTTACGGTCACCTCCCCCTCCCCCCAGCTTGGTATCATGCTCCTCCACTGTCAAGCGCTCTGGGACGCTACCCTGCTTGAGGGGATGCTATATAAATGCAAGTTGTTATTGGTTCAAAGATGACTGCCTTATGCAGGTAGCAGGAGACGATTAAATAAACTCTCAGGTCAATAAAATGTATTAAAATGACTGCTTAAATGATAAAATAGAACCTTATTATGAACATCTCATTCTTCCATAGTTACCTTTATTTGTGGAATCTTGCAGATGTCCTCTGGTGTAAGATAAATTGCATTCATTGAGCTCATGCTAGAATTTGTACCAGCTAAATCAAGGAACATGTCATGCACGCTGAAACATACAATTTATTTTACAACTCTTGAACCAAAGTAAAAGTAATACAGTAATATAGATTTTGTTCTACACTACAGTCAAAAACAATTTGGCATTTAGTTGCTAACACAGACATTTGATTATATTTAAATAATACTGAGTATACTTTTTTATTCTTTGTTTAAAAACAAAATTTAAAAAATCTGCAAGGTGCATTAATTAGCTAAAATCTGAATAGTTTAGGCCAGGGTGGTCCTACGTTTGGCTGCGCAGGCCGCATTCCCTATTTGAGAAAGGTCTGCTGGCCGCATCCAGCGTGGGCCAGCTGGCGGTGGCAGTGACAGTGTAGGGCAGTGGCAGGAGACGGCAGTTGAGAGGATGTGGAGAGTCTTTACGCAGTCTGTCAGGAAGGCAAGCATGTCTCTTACCAACCGTGACCTTAGCAACCAAACCGCTGTAGATAGTGACCCACACTTGGGAGAGAAATCAGGAGAGAGGGGTTGGAGAGAGAAAGAAGGGGGGTGGGGGCAGAAAGAGGGGGGGGGAGAAAGAAGGGGGGGAGAGAACGAGGAGGGGGAAGAGAAAGATGGGGGGGAAGAGAGAGGGAGAGACGGGAGAGCTGCCTATTGGACCACGCTGGACTATCAGAGAATAAGTTCCTGAGCACAGCCTGGGCATGTAGGAAGTGCCACAGGGATTTTGTTTTGTGAAGTTGAACCTTCTTTATTCTTTTGAGACCAGACATTCACTAATACTAAGAGCTCAGACAATTATTCTGTAGATCTCCACTAATGTCACTCTAGCTTAAATAAACGTGACCAGATAATGCTTACCCATGTTGCAATGTACTTTCCCCTACAATGGTATGGCTGAGATCAGGAACTTCTTCTCTAATGGCCTAAATTGCTGAAAGGAGCCTGGATTATCCCATTGGATTTTGGGAGAACATCACCAGGTAGGTCACACTCACAAAACAAATGAAAATCCACCAATGCTTCACAAAACAAAAGGAAAAAAAGTGACCTTATTCTGAAGAAATCATGAACTAAATTCTTCTATCACAATTACAGTGCACAAGTAGTACATTCGGAATGTCCTCTTTCTAGCTATTTCCATGTTAAAATTGAATAAGTATTGATCATTCTCTGGTTCAGGGAAAGAGTTACAAGTGGCTTTTTGGGCTGTGAGGGGTATG